TTAAGGAACCCCTAAGGGTTAATGGCCCTCAAAAGTCTGGTTACACTTCACTAGAGTTGCTGTGGACAATGCTTGTTTCTGAAAGTGCAACAAGTCTTTTGCATGTCAGGGCAGAAACACAAGCAGTCTTTCTAAATATCTATTAAGTGCCGTTAGCTCGTAGGTAATTTCTTGTTGCCCAATCCACTTCAGGTATGTAACGATTAAAAGTAATCGCTACATACCTGATCATTGTTTGGATATAAATATGTCAAATGGTTAGCTAGCGTTACAGGTTATCGGTAACATTAAGGCAGTATACATGCTAAATTACTAGTCTAGTGTGTGGATTAAACAAATAAGCTAATTTACCTTACTGTGTTGTTTTGAGTCAGGACCCCGGACTCCTCAGCTGGCTACTTTTTTGCTTTGGATGACGACTCCAAATCTGTGTGGAAAACATAATATTCAACATAATATTTTCATAATCATAATGTTTTACTATGCAGGAAAGAAAGAAATGCAGTCAAGAAGAATTTGAAGGACATACTTACCAAATCTGTGGCGGTTCAGGCAGCGTCGGTGATGTTGTAAACTGGTGTCAGCTGATGTGAAGTGTCTGTGCAGGAGACAGGATATCCCCTTTAATTTCCCCTTTCATTTATACTCTGTCGAGTTCTCTTACAGCCAATCATGAATTGACACAACTGTTTTTCACTATGTATGGTCGTATTGAAGGATGTTAAGTTGAAAAACTAGATGCACTACGAGGGTGTGTCATCACTGGTATTTGTTATCGATACAGAAACAAAAGAGGGCTCTGATGTCTCTTTAATTACTTCTCTCCTCTTTTTTTCCCCTTCTAGTGTCTGTGCAGGAAAGCTTAGAGAGGAAGTTTGGCAAGCAGGGAGGACCCATCCCCGTCGTTCCTACTGCTGACTTCCAGGCCAGAGTTGCTGTGAGTAACATCTGCTGATACACATGAACAGACTAGTGCTGGTCAAAAATGAACGGACAGTTCTGTAAATTCTGACACAGACAAAAGCATTCGTCCTCTCCGACCCGTTTGTTTAGTTGCCAAACGTACTGAAGATAATAAAAATGGAAGCACTACAACCTTAGACAATGTTACAAACTCAGTCACTACTGTGTGACAAAGTTTATCATGTTTATCGTCTCCAGTTAATTTATTATTTTTGCTACTATTATTATACAACATACATTAGTAGATTAAGTTAGTTGATTTTTGTTTACTGTATAAATAATACACATAAAGTAAAACACTTGTTGATTTTATATATTATCAGCTTGTTGAGAGGATAAAAGAGGTTATTGTTTTAGCTTTCACGATCATTTCAGTGTGCTCTACACTCAAAAGGAGCACAACACCTAATCTTTGAGAACTTGAAATACTTGATTTGTATTTTGAAATAATTGTTTGCATTGAAAGACATTCCTACAGTATGCCACACAAAGGGAGTAGGAGTGTTCTGAACTCTCTCAAGTGAAAAATATGCAACTGAATCCCCTTGATTGACAGATGTCCTGATGCAGTGAGCACTGCCAAGGTCTCACCCACATTTATACACACAGCCATTCAGTAAACCGTCATATCAGCCCTGTAACTAATATTTCCATTATAGATGCCAATGTGCTGTCAAGTAAAATGACAAATGCCCATCATAAGTTAGCAGAGCCAAGTTGTGTCTTAAAATAAGTCAAATTATTACATTTACCTTAATAAGAAAAGGGGAAAAGCACTGAATTCTCAAAGGTAAAAAGCATGCAACCAAGCTATTGTTTGTTATTGTTCATAATGATACATTTTCTGTTGATTGACTAAGTGATTACACCACTGTTGTTGAGGTGTCCCTCTTACTTGAGCTCAACCTTCATCCTCCTTGCAGGGTGCCTCTGAGAAGGATATTGTCCACTCTGGGTTGGCCTACACCATGGAGAGATCTGCCCGGGTAAGTGATTGCTGGGACATAACACAGTCCAACCTGTTTTAGTCAATAGGTACCAAATTATGTAACCTTGAAACATACGAATTGCACTTCAGAAATCTGGAAATATTAGCGCAGTGGAGTGGTTCCCAGACGTTTTCTGTCATGCTACCCATCTCGCTTTAAACCAATAAAAGAATCCAATAAAAAGGAAGCTGTTAAATCCTTTTTGCTACTTGCTACTGATAGCTACAGCAGCATATTGTATCAATTTTGGCAAAAACTTTACATTTTTGAAAACTAGTAATGAAATTCATTATTTTTAATTTGTTAATATTTAGATTTTCTTCACTTATCTGTGCTCGGGTCATGCTCACTGATTAACTATAATAGGATATTATAGTTATATACAGATGGGAAGTAGTGACAAAAATGTGATATAAATGTTAAAAAGAAAAATAAATTGATGGACTAATTGTCTCGGCTGGTATTAAATTGCATTCATTTGATTTTGTTTTTGAAATTTTAGTTACTTATTTTAATATTCAAAGATAACTTATTCTAATTTCACCAACTCCTGCTCTAGTCTTATGGTCAGTCCTACAAAGGTGTTATAACATGCTCTTTTCTGCCTTTTCTAGCAAATCATGCGCACAGCAAGCAAGTACAACCTGGGTCTGGACCTCCGGACAGCCGCCTATGTCAACGCCATCGAGAAGGTCTTCAAAGTCTACAATGAGGCTGGTCTTACCTTCACATAAATGGCCAATCACGACCCACACTTCCTCTCCCTCCCCTAACCTTCCTGCTGTTGATCACCCTCTCCTGCCTTCTTCCACCCTCTAAACAGCCTTCAGAACATATCACTGTTTACCGCTGCTCTTTGCCTCTTTTACACACGCACACATACAGCGAGACATTGGCTAGCCTGGTATTTATCCTGTGATCTTTGTGCTGCCATTATACTGTGTTTGCTTCTCTGTTTAAATATTGCCCTCTTCTTGTTTTTGCCTGGGGTTATATTGAGAAAAAGCAGACTGAGAGTAACATCCTGACAGAATTAAAAAGACCATGTCCCTCCTGCAGCCCTCATATAAACGTTCATGATAATTGTTGTAGGCAGCCCACATGTTAAAAGCGCCATTTATTTGTGATCGCTGAACCTGGACGCGTAGATACCCCTCGTGTCGCGGTTGTTTCAGTTGACAGCACTACAGATGCCTTATTCAGAAAGAGGTGTGCTCTAAAAGGGAGACGGCCACTTCAATTTAACTTTAATGAAAAGGGATTTAGATTTAACTTCATGTGAATAAAAGATAATAGTAATTTTATTACTCTTGACTTCTCACTCTTAAGGTGTAAAGGTTAGTAGTGAAATTGCCAAGGTTTAGGATTCCCAACAAGATTTTTTTTTTATTTCATAGATGTTTTTGGGTTCAAGAATTGATAGATGCTCTCCCACTCCTCACCCCTCCTTTTTCCTTCCTTTCCTGTCGCTTTATCTCGTATATTAAAAGCAGCTTCTTCCTGCCTCCTCCGCTGGCCAAGAAAGGGGAGCTGGGAGGGGGCAAGGTGTCACTGTGACCGCCCGTCCCCTGGTTGAATTTTCCTCAGTTTCAAGCGTCCAGTTCCTCTACATTGAAATTGTTTAGGAGGAAATTTTTATTTTTATTTTATGCATTTTTTGGAAACCAATAAAATGTTCAGAAAAAGATACAGCAGTGTGTCGCATCAGTTTATCTTCATACTATTCTGTCACAATATGTACATGAACTGTAGAAGGAATTCGGGGTGCTTCTGAAATGAAACATCTCTTCTTGATGAGGCCTGGAAGAGGGAATCCTACAGAAACACACACAGGTGTGGTGGGTAATGAGAAAAGGAGTGATGAAAACAAGATTAAAAGATTGTTTGACTTTTTGTGAATTACACTTACTCAGTTTCTTAATAAGGGATTACAAATCATACACTTAACTAATACATGACTTGTGGTGATTGAATGCATGAATTATGTATCGTGAACCATTTACAAATGATCAAGTCAATATGACTTTATGTTATTAGTTCGTACTTATTAATAGATCTGTTAAGAAATGTTAATTCAGTTACATCATACATGGATTGATATGCAACCAAATTAGCCGGATTCCAGTTACATAAAGTTTGTTACACATCCGTATATTTACTCAGCCCCTCCCTCCAAAAGCAGAAAAGTATTTGTTCTCATAGAAATATAAAGCTGTTTTTTTTTTGTTTTTTTTTTTAAAAGCAAACTGGTCAGATGGAAACAAGTACAATTACATGAATAACATTTGACTGCATATCGATTCATGTAGGAAGTAAGTGAATGAACGTTCCTCAACTGATGATCTGTTAAGTGTGAACTAATCATGTACAGTCGTAGCGACTTGATCGTTAATGGTAAGCAAAAGGAATTCATAGATCCTGCACTCATTTTTGCATGCATTGAATCATCATGAGTTCTGCATTAGTTAAATACATGACTTATTACTGAAGATTGATACCAGTCTCGTGTCTGCAAGTTTAATGTAAAGCTACAGCTGGTTAGCATAGCATGATGAAACTGGGAAACAGTTATCCTGACTCTGTCCAAACAAAATCCACCTGCCAGCACCTCTAAAACTCTCGAATTAACACGTTATATTTCCTGTGTAAAAAAGTGTAAAAACAATGATTTGCTGTTCTGTAGGGGATTATGTACCGAACTTTTCTCAGCCCAGACATGGTCCAGCCGTTAAACCCCTTTTCCACTTAAGGTTTTGTACAGATTGAACAAACAAGATATAATTCATTTAATTATAATGTCTGAAGAGCTGATGTGTGAAAGGCATGTATGAGTAAAAAAGAAAAAATCTGTCTGAAACCTCAAGGCCCTATGTTCGCTGTGTGGTTTGTTGTATTAAATCAATTGTCAATTTGATTGGTAAAGCATAAACTGATATCATAAGAGCCTGAAGGTGCCTCCGATGTCCTAATAATAGTAATCCGGAAGCCTTGTTCTCTTGGGGAGCCTTGCATTAAAATCAAGTTTTTTCAGTATTTCAACTGATATTTTGCTGAAATGCTGCATATTCTGGTAAACTTGAGCCATGAGGTGATTAGATTATTTTAGCATGAGTATAGGAAGCTGAAGGAAAGAAGATACCCGAGTTTGTCCAAAGATGAAAAATGCACCCACCAACACCTCTAAAGCTCACTAAATTTACACTAATTACATTTTAGTGTGTGACAAACCAAACACTGGCTCTGGATACGGCCATTCACATTTTTCTCGTTTGTCCACTGTAGTTTTTACTTCGCACGTAATGGGGAGTTGCAATCTGGAAGTGCTGTAACTATTTATTTGTGCTAAGGTCACTGTCTTCTCAGATTCTTGTCATCACTACGAGGCAACCAGCAGAAATGCTGCACAGAAGTACTGAATGGGTAGATAAAGTGGTTTGGTAAAAGATTCCACCTAAAACCATCATTCCTACATTCCTGTTTTTGTACAGATGAAACTACCAAGACTAACTTTGCTAAACTAAGCTAACCGCCTTCTAGCTCCATCTGCGGACTTTGCACGCAGCCCTGTGTCTCCTCAGTGGGTTCATCTGGCCCTGAGTGTCAGATCAAAATGTTCTCATTGTAATATTCTCACTCAACACCCAGTTCCACATATTCAAATAAATGTGTGACACAGTTGCTGGATTTCAACAAAACCTTTTTTATTCCACTGGTACTGTTTATAAAATCAGCGAGTCTGCTTTGATGCCAACTTAAACATGGTGTGCGATTTGTGTTTGTGTATGTGAGGTTGGATTTGTGATTGTGTGTTGTTTAGAGTGTGCTGTATGCATGTGTGTGTGTGTT